ATTTGTTAAAGCAATATTACTATAAATACATTGCATTTTGCCACAATATTCACATGTTATAGTACGTCTAATTTTTGTATTAACAAATTGACCTGGTCTTTTTTCGCCTATTTCATCATCAATAGTTATGTTCATTGCTGATGGGCGAAACCTTTCTGAAGTTGGTTTGCCATAAATTATTTCAAATTCTTTATAATGGTCCTTATCTATTAATAATAAATAAATTAATTTAGTAAAAATAGTTAACAATTTAAATTTAATATAATATTACCGTTTTCCAATAGTTCTGGATTAGGAATAAAAGATAAACTTTAAAAATAATCATAAGGCATACGAACTTTTCTGCATACTTTGCAATTATATCTGTTACATTTCATTATCTAATATATTATATAATAAGCTATTAGCTAATAAACTAAAATTTTAATTATAAAAATTTGTATAAATTATACTTGAAACATATAATTTCTAATACGGCAATGGCTTTTTACAAAGTCTTGATATAAGTTTCTTTTCAGTAATTGATTCATTGTAGTCATTGATTTATCTAATTCTGGATCTATTTTAGCCATTATCTTTATAATAAAAAAAATTTTAGTAAATTTGAAATATAATAATATACTTATTAAATTAATTAATTACTTTAAAAAAGATATCAATATCTTCTTCAAATGCTGGATTATTTATTTCAAAATAATCATCATGTAACTTTAATCTTCTAATATGATCAAAAAGTATATTTTGTATTTTATCAATTGATAATTTTAATTCAGATTTTAAAGTAGAATTATTTTCTGCTTCCTTACGAATTGCATCTAGTGTTTGTAATTTTTGAAAAATAAATTCTGACTCTTCAGATATTTGTTCATGTTGAAGAGCAACATTTTGAAAACCAAGATTAAGAATAGACATTATTCGCTTAGCAGGATTTGCCCAACTATGAAAAGATGCTGTATGTGCAGCAATTACTAAATCAAAATCCGCATTTAAAAAAAGTGAAATAAGTGAAACTTGAACAGATCCAAAATTGCACCAATGATCAGGCCCTCTATCTGTATATAATATAATAATTTCTTGTAGTGAATCAGCATTATAATAGTGTTGTTCTATTAAATCGTAGAATTCTGTAGCATGCCTAAGAGCTGAACTAGCTTGAAAAGTAGTATCTTTTAATGCAATATATACTTGTCCAACATAAAATGATTAAGTCGAATCTTCAGAAATTTTAGTAAATAATGAAACTGAAGGAGTTATTGAAAGTTTTGTAAAATCATGATCAGATGCTGAAAGCTCAGTTTGTTTTAATGTAGCAGATTTTTTATTTCGAACTCCAGTACTTGTTGGTACTTCTTCTCCAATTGGTACTTTGTGTTTATTATCAGCAAAAATAAGACATGTATATTGTCTATACTTTGATGCAAATTGTCGAATATATTTAAAAATTGCTTGACAATAGTGAACATCAATATGAGATTTTCTTAATTGTCAAGTTTGTACCATATATTTAATTTGAAATCGTCCTGTATACTATGTACTAGCTTTATACCAATTATTTTTTAGACAGAACTGATAAGAAATCCAGCGATCAGATGGTACTAAACAATTATTAGAAAGTGGATATTCATTATGCTTATTTTCTAATCGTTCTACAATAGATTCTCTTAAATCTCTAACTGAAATAAAACTTGGCAAATAAAGTATATTGCTATAACGCCTTTCATGTACTAATAAAAGATTTTCACTAAAATAAGATTCCATTTCATTCCAAAATTTATCAAATTTAGTGTCTTTAAATCCATTATTTTTGCGCATATCAATACAAATTTCAGGATCACCAAGTTCAAACATTGTTCTTAATCTTTGGTCTACTTCAGCAGAATATGAATTGTCTACAGCACTAGAGTCACCAACTAAGTTATGATATAAATAACGTAATACACTAGGAGTAATTTTTGTAATTAGAGAATACTATTTAATAAATAAAACTTATTAATATTAAATACTTTAATATAATACACATTAATATATAAAAAATTTACTTTTGCAAACATATGCCTTCTCATATATTGGGTAAAAAATTGAGGTAATAATGATTGTGTTCGAATTATTGCTTGAGCATTTTTTGTATCATCACGTAATTCAAAATCTTCAGGAATTTTCCAAATAAAATTTAAAGTTCCTAAATAATTTCCATGATGATATCGATATAACATAATTGTAGAATCGATAGTAAGATTTGATAGTTAAAAGAATCATTTTTCTTTGTTTTCAGGTAAAAATTCTTCAAGTGATATAATTTCATATTCGCTTGTATCTTTAATATGTTCAGCAATTGGTAAATATATTTCTTTAATAGCATTTTTTGCACATGGAGTTCGTATTTCTAAATTACTATTATTTTCAGGACTTCGTGCTGGAGCAGATGCAAGTTGAATTCTTTGCATATGCTGGTTAACTGTCTCTAAATAGTTAGCACATGTACGAGCAACAGAACACAGTTCTAAACTAGCAGTTACAACCTGATTCCAACATAATTTACTTGCCCATGGTTCTAGAATACACTCTTCTAATTTATCAGCATAAAATTCTAAATCTTTACGCTTTAGTGTAGTTTTATGATGAGATCCATTTTTATAATATGTATTTTGTTGATATAACGATAATTGAAGAAAAAATGTTGGTATTTTAAGGCTACGTAACTTAAGAGTCTGATGCTTATCATCCAAATAATAAAGAAGAGAGGTAAGTTTATTAACAAATGATTTACCAGCTATATTATGTGTTCTATATTCCCAACCAAGATTATTACTATGTAAAAGTGCTAAAAGATCATTGTATAAATGATCATTACGATTTGTTGTCGGTTTTGAATCAGGCAAAACTTTTTTGGATGCTGCACTCATCATTTCATTAAAAACATTATATGTAGAAGAAACAATGAAGAAACAATGCTTGAAGAGGATTTAGGATATTCATCTTGAATAGTAAACCTAATATGTAATACATTTTGTTCTTCTCGTGTACACAGCTTTAAACTTCCATTTATACCAGACACAACATTGTGCCATGTATTTGTACCCTTAACCTGAATCTCAACTTTAACATTCTCTTCAGGAACGTATTCACTATCTGCCTGATAAAGTAAATGTTCAAAAGTAAAACTTTCATCTACTTCAAATAGTGCAGCCGGAAGAATTGTTTTATTATCTCGTCTTACTGTTACAAAAGAAAAAATCATTTTTTTGTAACACATACTAGTATTACAGAAATTGTCAGCGAATTCAAAATTAAGAGACAATATTATTAATTAACTCAAAGACAGAATACAGGGAGTTGTCTAAAGCCAGATAGTATTTTATATTTGAGTGCCGCCAAAGGAAAAAGTGCCTCCGTTTTTTAGTAAATTATTGATTCAATAATAATTTATTAAAAAATGGAGGCCCTTTTCCCTTGGCGGCACTCATGATTTTAATCTATTAATCAATTATAGTAATCAATTTTAAAACTACTTGGGCTTAGACGATCCTGAA